TTCTGCTGATGAGACTAACATCTTGAAATAAATATTTATCTAAATGTCCATAGTCGAGTATTAACGAGAGTGGGATATCGTTAATGCATGTGAGACTAGTGTGTGTTGGATGTTTGACTTAGTCTCATAGTCAATGACGGTGTGTTCGCATCCGCACATGGGCAGATATTATCTAGAGATAATAGGATGCCGGACTGACCCATCCTAAAGATGTTGCTTGAACTTTTAGTTCATGCTCTAAGCATCTTTAGCGCGACCACGGATGTAACTATCCTTCGACTTGAAGTATTACGTTTTCTGCATATGTGAACCCGCATACTTTGATGCATTGTCCTAAGCCATAGGAAATAAGGATGGTATACAGGCTTTGTTTTGGGTATGCCGCAGCGCGTATTCAGAAACGTAGATTACGTACAGAGGATTTGTCACTACTCTTTTTAAAAGAGATTAATGTCTTATGGGGCCCACTGATAAGTTATGATTGAGGAAATTGCATGGCCATGCTGAGATGCTTTTATGACGTCTGTTCCTATCGGTCAGACTTGATAAATCAGTGAATGACTTAATGGATACAAGCTGGATTTTATTAATCCCTTGCATTAAGTTTAGACATTGAGACAAAGGGATACAGTTACACGGAGTCTGAGTCGTGGAAAGGTTTTGACGGTGCAAACGTCTTAACTTATAATCTGGGGGGAATAATGTGTTGCTAGATACCGCTTATTGCTTATAGTATTGGTGCAGAGCCAATACTGTGGCCAGCTTTATAAGTGTCTATACGGGTCACACACTTTGGACAATTTAAGGAGTAAGATTAAACAATGGGATAATAAGTAATTTGTATATTTGTAAAAATAGTAAAATAAAATATTTTGGAATATAATATTATATATATAAATATTCGGTTATATATATATATATATATATATATATATATATATATATATATATATATATATATATATTATATGTACCGATTAATATATATATATATATATATATATATATATTATATTGAATATTTTATTTTGGTTTGTCATTTTAATTATGAAAATAATTATTTTGGCATAAACTATTTAAAGTATATTTGTATACTTGTTTAAAAATGATATTGGTATTTTGTTTGATTTAAAATTAATTTTTATATTAATTTTTGGTGTCAAATAAAATACACTTTGAACATTTACGTGGAGAAGAAGTTTGAAAATCCTTCTCACAATCACAACCATATTTCTTTTGGCCATGGGATGTTAATGAGGACAAAATTGTTTTGACTTTGCATTTTAAAGATGTAAGAAATTTCCTAATTTGTCATTAAGTGTATAATTGGATTTTAAAATCCACTTTAATGTTTCATATAATGATGAACACACATTAATCAATTAGGGCAAAAAAAAAAGGTTTCGGCCATCACATTTCTTAGAGAGAGAAAGTTTATTTTGGTTCCATTAATATCATTTTGTGTATAGAAAATATCAATAATATTTTCTAAATATTATTAGAAATATTTTCTATAGAAATATACAAGATTATTATTATCCCAAATTTTAATCTTTATATTTTATACTACTATAATCTTTACT